GACCCCCCCCCCCCGGGTGAACCATCCGCTGCGTGGCTCCCAGCTCTGGAGGAGAGGAGAGGGGAGTCGGTCAATCGAGGCGGGGGCCGAGTCTCCTGGCCGTGGCCTTATTGCTTTTCTCAGAAGAGTCGGGCTCTTCCTTCGTGAGTGAGAGAGAGAGAGAGAAACCAGGTGCGGAGGGAGCCAAGGACCACCTTCTTCCTCAGAAGCCTCAAGGCACAGAGACGCTCCGCAGAAGAAGAAGAAGAAGAGCCGTGGGGCCTCCTCCCTCCCCTCCAGCACCATCCTGCGTCCGAACGGGGCCCTCTCCGCCCAACAGTCCGCCCCGGGCAGCCCAAAGTTGCTCCCGCCTGGGGGGTGTCAGTTCACCACCGCTTGCTTCAGTAGAACGGGGCCCGTGGGGATGACCACCCAGCCCGGCGGCAGGGCGTCGGCGCTCCCCCCAGAGTTCATACCCACCGACAGGTCCAAGACGCCCCCCGGCAGCAGGGAGAGGCCCTCCGGAGGGGACCGGCGCCTGGCCCGCTCAGCGGCCTCCTTGCAGCTCTGGGGGCCCGGCGGGCAGCTGCCCTTGACCGGCCGGGAGCCGCAGCCCAGGGGGACTCTCTCGGCAGCGGCCTTGGCGGAAGCCCCGGCGAGCAGAGACACCACGGGCAGTCCCAGGCCGCTGGCGGCAAAAGGGGCGGCGAGGAGGGGGCTCTTGGCCAGGTTGAGGGGCGCCATCAGGGGCCCGGGCAGAGCGGCGGCCCCGATCCCGCCGCAGGCGAAGGCGCTGAGGTCCAGCGGGGCGGGCGTCAGGGGCAGGCCGTGGGCTCCGCCGAAGAGGGCACCGGGGTTGGGGATGACCAGCTGGGCCCCGCTGACGTAGGGCAGGGCGGGGGCGGTGGGGGGGCGGCCCTTGAGCAGCTCCTGCTGCTCCTGGGAGATGAAGTGGCCGTGGGCCTTGATGTGCTTGCGCAGGGAGCTGGGGTCCGTGTAGCGCTTGTGGCAGCCGGGCATCTTGCAGAAATAGGGCTTGTCCACGTAGTGGGTGCGCGTGTGCTTGAAGCGGTCGCTCGAGTTGGAGTAGCGCTTGTTGCAGCCTTCGTAGGGGCAGACGTAGGGCTTCTCACCTGCGCGGGGGGGGAGGGAGACGGGACACAGGCACGGGAAGAAGAGGAGGAGGAGGTTGGATTTCCACCCTGCCCTTCACTCAAGAGTCTCCTTCCCCTCCCCACGACAGACACTCTGTGAGGTAGGTGGGGCCGAGAGAGCTCTCTCGAGTACTGCCCTTGAGAGAACAGCTCTGACGGAACTTGTGACTGACCCAAGGTCGCACCGGCAGCTGCATGTAGAGGAGCGGGGGATCAAACCCGGTTCTCCAAGAAGAGAAGCACAGATTGGCTTTATACCCCATGGCCCTTCACTACCCAAAGGAGTCTCAGAGTGGCTTACAAGCTGCTCCCCACAACCGACACCCTGGAAGGTGGGTGGGGCCAAGAGAGCTCTCTCGAGGACTGCCCTTGAGAGAACAGCTCGGGGGGAGGGCTGTGAGGAGAGCGCCGGGGGCGGAACCCCAGCCCTGCCAGGGCGATGGGAGGGGCTGTGTGCCCCCTGGCTCAGGCCCCAGAGGATGAGGCTGGCTCCCCACCGCCCCCCAGCTGAAGGCAGGAAGATCGGCTGGGGGGGGGGGGGCGCCGGCCTCCTACAACCCAGTCAGGTCTGAGTCCAGCGGCGGCTCAGAGACCAACAAGAGCTCCGGCTTTCGAGAGAGTCGAAACTCCCTTCGTCGGGCGCGAATAGGAATGGAGACCTCCAAGTCCTTTCGTCCCCATCAGGAGGTGGGGGGAGCTGCAAAGGCTGCTTGCGGGGGCAGAGGAGTCCAACCTCACTACAGACGCCTCCGCCTTTCTCCTCGGCTCCAGCCAAGGCGGTGACACGCTGCATGGTGGCCTTTCCCTCCTTCACAACCCCCCTCCAAGGTCTCCATGTCTGCCCTAAGACCTCCAATGAAAAGAGTTTGGACTCTGGGACGCTCTTGTGGATCTCAAAGAGCTGCTCCTGGACTCAGATTTAACCGCAGAACAAAGAGAGTTGGCTTCATACCTGCCCGCCACTCGGGAGTCTCAGAGCGGCTTACACTCTCCTTCCCCTTCCCCTCCCCACAACAGACACCCTGGGAGGTCGGCGGGGCTGAGAGAGCTCTCTCGAGGACTGCTCCTGAGAGAACTGTGGCTTGCCCAAGGATAACCAGCTGGCTGCATGTGGAGGAGGAGTGGGGGAATCAAACCCGGTTCTCCCAGATCAGAGTCCGCACTCCTAAGCACTGCACCAAACTGAATTTGTAAGATTTCCTGTACACCTGAGTACAAGAAAGAACCGCATCCTCCACCAGGGCTCTCATCCCCGCTGCGGCCAGCAGAGAGGACTGACAGGCGGTCAAGCAGGAGAGCAGAGGCTCAGGGCCCTCGCGGCCCACAGGTGGCTCCAGCAAAAGTGGACAGTGGGGGGCCCCCCCCCCCCCCCGGAGGTTGATGGCAGCTGAGGCTCTGGTGCGTTCCGTGGCGCACACGCGACTTTCACCGCCAGCGAGGTCCGCCCTCCCGGCCGACTCACCTGTGTGGGAGCGGTTGTGGATCTTGAGGTTTTCCAGCCGGGAGAAGCTCTTGTTGCAGGTGGGGCAGCGGTGCGGCTTCTCGTTGGTGTGCGTCCGGATGTGGATCAGCATCTTGTACCTGTGGGGGGGGGGGAGAGTAAGAGGCCGCTTCCCTTCCTTTCCCTTCCGAGCTGGCAAAGCAGGGCAGCCCCCCTTTGCCCAGAAGGCAGCCGAGACCAGAGAGAGAAACGCTCGGCCCGTCCCTTGGGAAGGTGGAGAGAGCAACGCTCGGCCTCCGGGCCCCACCCACGGCTCCGACGGGACCGCCCGGGGCTGTCAGGGGAGCTTCAGAGCGACGTGGAGCTCTGCTCAGGCTGGGTGTTAAAAAGCGCTCTCGAGGGGGACCCGGACTCGAGCCTGTTCTGTGTGCCGGGGCTTCGTCTGTAGGAGGCTGGCACGCAGGTGGCACCGTGCCCTCCGGGGCTTCCTAACACCTGCAGCTGTGCCAGACCCAGCCAGCCTCCCCTGGACGGAAGGGGCACGGGGGGTGGCCGTGCAATGGGGTGTCAAGTTGGGTGAGGGTGCTAGACGGAAGGGAGGGAGGGAAGCAGGGAGCCCCGGGAGACCTCGGCAGCAGCTCTGTTGTAGGGCTCTCCCGGGCAGTGTTCCCTCTAAGCTGCGTTCGTGTGAGCCAGCTCACAGTTTTTTTAGCCTCCGGCTCACACATTTGTGCCTTTGCTCAGGAAGGAGGGCTCCAGACTAGCAAACTAAGTGATGCAGTCGCCGAATCGCTGGCTCACAACTTTGATGCCGGTAGTAGCTCACAGAGTAGAATCTTTGCTCACAAGTCTCCACAGCTTAGAGGGAGCCCTGGTCCTGACTGCTGGGAGGGGGGGGGGGGGGGGGGGAGAAATGAGGCAGGCAGGACTGGGAAGGAAGGGGTGGGGGTCTGGGGGAAATACAAGGGACGACAGTGCCGAAGGCATGATGGCGGAGCGGAACTGGAACCCAGCTCTCCACTTGCTCCATCCGACCATCTAGGCTAAGGCCACGTCAGGCCAGCCGCACAGCGAAGGCACGGGCAACCAACCTTCCCCCCCCCACACACACACACACCCCGGGTCCCCCTTTGGGTCACCTGGCATTGAAGCCCCGGCCGTGGCGCGCGCAGCCTTCCCAGTGGCAGCAGTAACCGGCCTCCTTCTCGGGCTTGACGTGGAAGTCGTTGACGTGATCCACAAGGTCTTGCAGCAGGTCGAAGAGCTGGTTGCACTGTGGGGAGGGGGGGAGTTTTGTGGCCGGCGGGAGGCACAGGGAGGCGCCCCGAGGGCGTGGGGAGGGCTCTGACCCCCCAATGGCAGCAGCCCCGGCAGGTGCCCCCGGCCCCCCACTCACCTTGGACCACCGGCACACCAGCTGCTTCTGCAGGGGCAGGTCGGGGGAGAGGCGCTTCTCCTTGGGGGGGCTCAGGAAAGCCGAGGAGGGCAGGTGCAGGGTGCCCCCGGAGTTCAGGGGCAGGAAGAACTGGAAGGAGCGCTGGAGGCCTTCGAGGTAGCGCAGGGACTGGAGCTCCGGGCGGGGGGGGGGGGGAGAGGACGAGTTAACAGCTGCCCTACCTCACAGGCACGTTGCAGAGAACGGCCCAGCGGCAGTTTTAACAGCCTTGCCACTCAGTGTGTGTGTGAGAGAGACAGAGAGAGCGCAGTTGCCCCTGGGAGACCCCAGAGCAAACCGGCGCGCCAGGGGCCATGCTGAGGAAGAGTGCCAGACTAGTTCACTTGGGAGACCCAAGTTTGAATCCCAACTTGCTGGTAGCCCCCTTCCTCTATCCCACCTCGCAGGGCTGTCAAAGTGGAGGAGAGTCGAATGATGCGAGGGGGGGGGGGGGGGGGGGAAGGCAGGGTATAAATACATTACATTGTTAAATAAGCCTAGACGTTGGTGCCAGGAAAAGAGGGGCGGTCTGTCCCCACCCCGTGCCTTCCGTCACAGCCAGCTGGCATGGTGGTTAAGAGGGCGGACTCTAATCTGGGGTAACCGGGTTTGATTCTCCACTCCTCCACTTGCAGCTGCTGGTGTGACCTTGGGTCACTTACAAGTTCTCTCAGGGCTGTTCTCTCAAGGGCAGTTCCTGTCCAGAGCTCTCTCAGCCCCACCTGCCTCACACAGGGGGTGCCTGTGGTGGGGAGGGGAAGGGAAAGGAGTCTGTGAGCCACTCTGAGACTCCGAGTGAAGGGCCGGGGGTATACATCCAATCTCCTCCTCTTCTTCTTCCCTTCCCTTCCGGGCTGGACAGGCCTAGGCAGGCCCCCACACCTGTCCCCCGCCCATCAGCTGCACACTCGCGCACCCCCCCACACCCAGCCCCCTTGGCAACTCACTCGGAGGGTGGCGGAATTCACCAGCTCCCCGCTGCTCGGCCGGTCTGGGGAGAGCGAGGTGCTGCCGCTGGGGGAGTCGAGGCCCGAAGGAGGGGAGAGGCTCCGGTCGATGGTGCGGGGCGAGGAGAAGCCATCCTGCCCTTTGGAGTGTGCCGGGAGGCCTGTGGGGGGGGGGGACAGAAGCGCATGCGCACAGGGAGGCCATGAGTGGAAGGCA